ATGGAATATCCAGAGTTTGCAAAAGAGCAGAATATGGAAATAAATATCAACCACTATTTAGAAAGTATGTTGGGATTATGTGCGCGATTTATTAATGAAGACGAGAAATATCAACCACCATCTTCACATAAAATCATGCAACTTGAAGATTCAGATGAGAAAGAAAAACAGATTGACGCATATTCCCAATGAGAAGCTAAAAAATGGCTTACGAATTATATTAAAGCCTTGAATTAATTGGCTGTGTTATGTTATATTGTTTGATATAATGAGGATGTTTTGCATCTAAGTATTCTTGGTTAGAATTGCAACACCTACTAAGATACTTATACATTAATAATAATATTTTTTTTTGTACATAAATAATATCGAAGTTCAAATAGACAGCCTTTTATCGGATCCATATATCCCATAGACAATCACTTTTTTATTGCGGAGTAGGCAGTATGACTCTTTAGGGCTGTCCTTTTGGACCTGTGGAATAATGACACTTGCATACCTAGGCAATGAATTGAAAATTCGAGACTCTGTCTCTTCTTCGAATCCTGGCTTAAAGAGTCTACCTATATTCCATTTTCGTCTCAATACCACTAACCACATAACCGCAATAATTAACATAATAAGTAATATATATGCCAATAATGGTGATATCAAAGTGTTTTTTATAATAGGAATTTCATCGCCTATTTTGGGACTGATCTCAGCATCAACTTTTGATAGTTCAGTAATCTCATCATCTGTATAGGACAATGTACCTGTATTGATTTTTTCAGGAACCAGAGATAGGTCAGGGACTCAAACCTCAGCTTCCTCGGTACTATGTGCTATCTGGTCCATATTTTTTTTGCGTACTAGATACTGACTGAGATTTTTACTAGATATATCAGATGTGATAGCATTATCACTCCGTGAGATAGAATTCGATATTTTTTTTTCATCTGCCTCACCGCCGATCTTGATTGGTTCTGATGATAACTTGGATTCTAAGGAGTATATCTATGAAGTTTTCAAGGGCAGATCATCTTTCATTTGTTTTAATTCGTCATCTTTCGAAGCCAATGCATTCTCCATCTGCACCAATTCACTATTTTTCGAAACTAGAATAGAATTCAAGGCAGATAATTCGACCCTTAGGGGGTCAATCTCAGATTCTTTCATAGACAAGTCCTTCTGAACTGAAGATAATTTCGTCTCCAATGCCTCCATCTCAGATAAGAAATCTTTCATTTCTTTGGATTTTGTACGAATCTTATCCTTGAATTTACTAAGTGAAAGATCTTTACCAGTGATACGGGATTTGAGAGTATCTATCTTTGAGCGTAATTGCTTAACCTCATCTATAAGTTGATATACATACTCGGATAGTTTCTCATTATTGCAACGTAATTGATCATTCTCCTTATTGGTATTTATGCTATGATTCGAATATACCACTTGCAT